TATAGACATATTATAAAAGGAGTAGCTAGACTTAATTAACTTAAGAACTTGGTTTTTAGGACTTATTGAAATCTCTGAATTTGTCAAACCAACTGAATTGCATTTAGACAAATGAACTCCAGGGTTAGCTTTAAAAGGGTTTAAAATGTCATGGGGGCGTGACTTGAATTTTAATAATTGGGGACAATTGGCCCAAGAGCTGTAAGGCTAGGATGGTTAGTTAGGCTAAATTATAGGCGAACCTTATGTAGACCAATGAATTTAAATTAGCGACTAAGCCTAGGTTAGTAAGAAATTTACTTTTTTGGAAAAATTTGGCTCTTGTTCCTCGTCTATTGGAATCTTAAATATTTCGAAAATAAAATCTCCAGTCCTTCAAACCCAACGAGGTTATAGTGTATAGAGTGATGATGTACGTTGTTAATCCTTTACTTATTGTATATGCCGAGAACACTCTTCTGAACATATCCAACACCTATTCTGCCATGTACATTGTACACAACAAGGTTATAGTGTATAGAGTGATAATGTACGCTAATCCTTTACCAATTGTATATACCGAGAACGTACTGCAAATTTGTTATAAGGAGATTCTGGCCTAACCTACAGTATATTTTCATTAGTAAACAGTTGTAAGTGTTATACAGTACAGCTAACTGAGTACATAGGGAGAGAACTATCATCCCCCCTGGACCTAACCTATAGTATATCAATATTAGTAAACAGTTGTAAGTGTACAGTACAGCTAACTGAGTACAAAGGGAGAGATCTATCATCCCCCCTGGACCTAACCTATAGTATATCAATATTAGTAAACCGTTGTAAGTGTTATACAGTACAGCTAACTGAGTACAAAGGGAGAGAACTATCATCCCCCTGGACCTAACCTATAGTATATCAATATTAGTAAACAGTTGTAAGTGTACAGTACAGCTAACTGAGTACACAGGGAGAGAACTATTATCCTCCCTGGACCTAACCTATAGTATATCAATATTGGTAAACAGTTGTAAGTGTTATACAGTNCCCCTGTGGACCAGTGAAATCTATTGATTTCAGGGGGTTTTCAGGCCCCAACGGGTGCTGAGATTAAAGATTAAAAAAATTAAGCACCCCCTGGACAAATTCCTGACTACGCCCCTGGACAGAGTCGATTTTAAAGTTTACTTCGCATCTTTAACTTTTTCCTTAACCTGTACATTTACCTGTACATTTACCTGTACATTTAGCACCAGAACAGACTTTTTTAACTTCAGACTTTAAGAAGTAATTGGCATTGATTTGTACGAGCAGAGCTTCAACCCTTGGTTGTGTTTTATGCTTGAGATTTCCATTATCGTTGGCTAAATAAAAGATACAGATTCATGAATTAAAAGGATTTTATAAAAGCTATAATACGACGGTTATATCATCGTAAAATTGATTTGATTTCATTAACGATATGAAAGGCTAAAAGTGGTAAATATCCAATACAGTTTATATGAAAGCAGACATTCATTTGTCAACTGTCATATTTCTTGGGACACCCTGCAGTTCTTAGATATAGAAAGAAAAGAAAACTGATTTCGACATTTACAGGTGTTTTAGAAATCCTAGAAACTCCGCAAGTGTCTGTAGTAAAATTTCAAAAATTGCAAAAAAAACCGTAACAACGTACAAAATTTTGTCCCCCCCCCATTTCACGTTTATCTTGTAGGGTTGAGGTTCGAATCTAAATCGGATGTATGTTAAAATTTACTAAAGGGAAACACTTTCAAATTCTGGAAGTGAATGGGGTTAAAAATATAGTTGTCGGGCGTGTGGGTATTTTTATCTGAACATGTAGGAAGGAGAGGGAGGGCTTAGGGGGTACCGGCC